TCTTACCGCCGCAATAACGGCGTGCTCGATTGCTTATTTGCCTGCATCTATTATTATGATGAGTATTGAAAAATAACATGGAAACAGTTGGAGGAGGCCCTTGCCCATAAAGGCACACAGACAGGTGTCAAATAGAATCATGTTTTTAATAAATTAATTTGTAAACGTTTTGTATAAGATGTCTGAATAAAGGCTATTATTATTATTATTATTATTGAAAAATAGGTGCAGGCAGTTATTATTTTCGGTCTTATAAATTTTGACAGCATCTCATTTCTTTTTTATGTAGATGCAGAAAAACACGATTTTAGAGAAATCTCATTAAGGGCGAGAGTGCTTTTGTTATAAGTATGTGTTTATTCCATTTTTAATAGTCACATCCCTATTTCTGGTTTAGTGGTATGTAGGTTGACCACAGAACAGTAAATACCTTAACGTGAACATTGAAAAATGATTATTCACTGTTTTGTGGTTTTGACCGACCGTAGGTACCACTAGTAGTAGTATGGGCACTAGGTACGGTGGGTATGAGATGTTATTGCGTTATAAGTACAGTTAACTCGATATAGATATTATAGTCTTCATTGTACTTCTGCCGTAAAGCGAATCTGTCCTTAAGCGGGCAAGGGGTCATAGGTTGGATTCCCACCAAAGACAAATATTGTGTGATCACCTATAATATTGTTCCTAAAACTCCAAGGCTTAATATCAATAGCCATCTTTGTCGCTCCCATCACTACATTACGCAGATAACGAAAGTACCTAATCATTTTATCTTGGCCGCGCATTCAAGCGTTCGATATCTAAGGCCGGACCCACGTTCGGTTTCATATCGGCCATCAATGTCGATTGGTACTGAAAAATTGAAACTATTTTATTTTTTCTAAGATGCTACATATTTATTTAATCAAAATATTTACCCTCACTATCTATACATTGCTGCCATCTTAAGGGAACTTCATTTGTGCCATTACGATAGAACTCTGGGGATATAGATTCGAGAAACTGAGTGAAAGCATTTTGTACTGCCTCCTAGGAAGATTTTTTTTTTTATTGGAGCAAGGTCTGGCGGAGGATCATATATGGTTTCTAACTGCAGCTCCTGTAGAGTCACAACGGTTTCTCGTGCAGTGAAGGTCTTGCGTTATTATGGAGCAATAATAGTGAAGATCGATTTACGAGTCGGGGCTGTTAACTGCCAGTTTCGCTATCATTGTTCGACAATAGGTACAGTAAACATCTGTTGTTATTGCCTGACCAGACCTGAGAAAGCTTCAGTGAATAACACCATTAGGAGACCACCAAACAGTTACCATTACCTTTTTATTGGTAAGCTTTAGGGCACTATTGCGGCGTTTGACCTGGGACAGACATTGCATTTTTCTTTTCGCTAATGGTTATCGTAAGCAATCCACTTTTGGTCACATGTCACAATTCTATCTAATATTCCTTCATTTCTATACCGGTTCAACAAGACAACGCGCATTTCTTTCTGCAGGTCATTCAAATCATGAGGCACCCGTTTAAATACTTTTTTCATCGAAAATCGAATGTTGCACATTTTTTAAAAGAAGAACCTGATAGGTATCATGTAAAAAAAGTTTTACAAGAAAACTCACCACTAGAATCCTCGAAGCCTTGAAGGTGCAAAATATTCTATTATGTTTAAATTATCTAGTCATTGTATGAAACTAAAAGGGAAAAGAAAACGCATATTAAAAAGTGTTGAAGTTTATTTAAAACTTATTTTGATATTTTAAATGAATAAATCAACATAAATATAAACATAATCATTTAGCTACACAACGCACATAATAATATTTATCATACAGTTTAGGTACATACTTTTTCAAAATAATACATTGTCTTCTTCTGCTTTTCGCAAATTAACTTATGTTGTGTTTGGTTGTGATACACGTAAACGGGTGCTGTTTCTTTTAATGGGTTGTTACGTACTAAATCATTAGGGGTAACGTACTCGTAATTGATATTTTTCAGCAGAGTCAAGTTCGTGAACGTAGTTTTCCTGATGAATAATTTAAAGGTACATGCAGCTTTAGGATATCCTATCATGAGGGTAATGAACATAAAAAAATAATACTTAAAATAATAATATACGTCATTAATTGGATAGCTGGTTACTATCTTATCGCCTCAGACTCTACTCAAATCAGGTGAATCTCTAATTTGTCAAACACGCCTAGAAAAATTAGTCTATCGGGAGTCTTGGCATAAATCAAAGGAAACTCAATGTAATAAAAGATACTCTAACCTGTCAGAAGATCATACCAATTACACCCTATCCCTTTCAATCAGAAGCTCATCCAAACAACATCCATATGTTATTTGGAGAATTGAAGAAATTGCTGGGTCTTAGATAAAATCTGCGATGTTATTCTGACATGACTCTAGAAAGGATTTATTGGGCATCTTCTAGTTGATTAATGAACTCAGACTTGCAACCTTAGAGGGCCCAACAGTGGATGGATGCTTAAAATGCCAATAATAGCGTATTCTGCTACCACCAAAAAGACTGCAAATAATTTTTCGCAATTTCAGATATTTCTACTCTCTAAACAGAGTTAATGCAAATTGCTGAAGTAATCATGAAGCAGCATTATGATTAGCTCAGCAAGTTTCTTGGAACATATCTCAGGGTCATGGAATGTTCTCTCCAGCAGCATGAAAAACTACATGGCTGAGATTGATCGTAAAACTGTAGGATTTGCAAATCTTCATGATAAATGACATGGCGTACCTGTATCTTCTGTTTTGTTTATTCTAAAAAGGATTTATTGTATGTCATCATAGCAACAAAAACAATATGAACAACATCGCGTGGAGTATTCGGTACTCAGTAGCGAACATTGTGACATGACGACAGGCTAGCTAATAAGATCTGATTGCGGCTAAATGCCGTTCACGAGCATGACTATTGCTGATAAGATATCTATGCTATTTCATACAAATGGTTGAGAGTGAATGTTTTAAATATTTGGTCAGAAGGGTCAAAATTTTATTGAATTTAAACTCATCTAGTATTAATAGGTTTACAATGTATAATTTTTTTTTGGTTTTCATCTTATACTCGACAACATAGGTAATATGAGGGGTGTATACATATTTAACATAACCTTTTTATGAACAACAAACCTTTGGTTAATATCTGGCAAACTTGTGACTAATTTACAATATTCAATATCCTTTGTAATATCACATTTTTATCAACTGTGTGAGTGTATCACGGACATTAAACATATAAAAAAAAAAAAACAATAAATATACTACACTATTTCGATGCGAACGAAGAGATATTCTACACTTATTGCAAAAGCATAAGCTACGTGTAAATATATATAAAGGGTGTAAGGGACATCGTAACGAAAACTGAAATAGTGTGTTCAAATTATCATTCTGAGTCTAAAATCATTGGAATTTTCTACCGGAAAATAAACTTTTTATGCAATCAGCTGTCAAAGGTAAAGGTCATTTCCCGTAGGTATCGCACAAAAGTAATAACTACATGTGTATTCCGTGCAAAAAGTCTACGCACACTAACAGAAGTTCCCGCGAAGAGGGTCATGCGCGCTTCGGTTGTTGGATTAATTACATCGCAGTTTTTGACCGTATGCGGTATTTATTAATTTGTTTTCGGTAACATGTTCAGTTTACTCATTGTGATATCATTTTTAACCAAAGACAATGGAAAAAATTATGAATTTTTCCGGCAGAAAATTTCAAAGTATTCGTTACGATGTCCCTTACACTCTGTATATGGAAAATATAGTAAGATCCTAATAAATCCAGCTTTCTACTTTGAAAACAAAATTTGATTCGATTCAACAGTTAGGTAGCTATGATGCAAAAGATTGTCTTTTAAACGTATGTCTAATATCATTTGGTCCTTTGAGCCAAAAATCACTCGAAAGAGTCTTTCTTAGAGTCGCATTTGTTATTTTATCAAAACTGGGATTCACAAACAATAAGTAATTATAGCAGTTGGAAGACTTCCATTTTAGTTCAGCTCGTACAAAATAGAAATGCGGTATATAGTAGGCGGCTACAAGACGCGTGTGCCTTACACAAAAATAAACACTTCTACAGCTGAATTATACTTTTTAACGGGCAAAATATCATACAAATCGCAAATTAGACCAAATATAAATAAATAATCACTACTGAGTAAGAACTATTGTTTGACTGTCTTTCGCCAAAATTTCCTCATTGGCCCCTACAAGTTGTAGACTGCAACTCATTTAATTCAAAAAGAGAAAAGAAGAGAAAAAATAAAATGACAGGCAATTGAATAATTCTATTTACATTAAACGATAACTTTATTGGTATGGAATGAGTTATACAAAAATTTTTTTTAATGAAGACGTCTTTTTCGAATATAGTTAAAGGAATATATTTTTCAAAAACAGAAAATACCATTGAAGATTACGCAATTGAAATTGTTTGTGAAGATATTCTTCTTTTATAAATGAGTATAAACTAGATAATTATCATGAGGTAAATATATATACACATTTATTTATAAAAGGACGCCTGTACACTACTGTAAAGCATAAATTATTTTAAATTTAATGCCAAAATTTTATATTAATTCTTTATTAAGTAATATAGCATTTCACAAATTTAATTAGGTGCAACCAATTAAAAGTATAAAATGAATATTTTTTAATTTATAGCTTTTAATTGCTTCCTTATTTCTGCAAGAAGGATCAAACTTTTAATCTTTTTATCTAGGTTATTTAATAATATACTTGATAGCAAATCAAATTTAAATATAACAAAAATAGCTGTGTAACCAAATAAGTAAAATGTATTGTAATATACATTTACCTTTTTCAGTTTCACAATATTAAATAAATAAAATAATGTGTACGTACATCCTTTTAGAACATAGAATATTTCAACTTTCAAAGTGAGATAAAAAATTCTAAAACTAATTTACGTACAGCGCGGTAGGTACATTTGGTATAAAAGTGTTGGTGGGCTTACGGCATGTTCTGCAGACATTCTTTGATCTGGATCCACGCTTGTAAATTCTGAAATATAAAAAAGGTTAAACTAATACATAAATAACGAAGCTGGCAGCATGTGGGTATTCCCCAGACCAATGTTTTAAGGTGTTTTTAGTGACAAACATTAAGACCACTACAGCGGTGACTGCAACGCTAAAGTGGGAGTACAGATAGTAAGATCCCATAGATTTCGAAGCAGGAACCGTAAGGGGTAAATGCTAGTCAACTTCCTCGAACTGGAGGGGCTCTTCTTGATGATTTTTTTTCTTCAAGAAACAGCCCCAAAGGAAGTTGACGTGGCAAAGCGACGACGCTATAACAAAAATGAGAACAATTTTAATAAAAGAACGACATGACAATCGTAAAATATTATTTATTCATCATCAACAGCTTTTAATAGTCCACTGTTTGACATAGGCCTCTCTTTGGCCTACTTTAATTAGGACTAATCCCACCTACACGCCCACCACTGTAACTCCTGTACACCAGGATCCACAGCAGTGACCCACGAACACACCGAGTTATGGCTTTGGCCTACTATACTACGGCCAGATGGGGTTTGTGTTAAGTTTTCCTTCTCTTATAGTTAAACCGCCGTAAGCTTGGCCCTCCTGATGGTTTGGGGGACGCGGGGCGGGGGTGCATTCAACCAATTAGCTAGTGCGTCGCTGTCCGCCGGCAGTGACTGACGTGAAAGCATGGCCGTACGTGTTATTTTTCTTAAGACTGCTACACACGGTATTATTTTGCAACATGGATAATCTGCCGACTGCGTCACAAAAAGATTTCAAAACTTGAAGTTCGGCTTACAGAGGTTCTACTGTTAAAGTTTTAATTTAAAATATTTATTATTTTACTTAATTTTTAAATTGTATCTGAATATAATTTACATGATGAAGATAAGGTGATTTTATTAAAATTATTTTACATCTATTAAATATTACAATCAATCATAAAAACTTACAATACACTGACATTATAATACATGGAAATAAATTAGATTTTTATTACATCGTGTGTAGATTAAATCTCAAACAAATAAATCTGAAGATATCGAGTTAGAACATCGTGTCATGTATAGCCGAGCGCATCACTCGTCCCGCGTCCCGCAAACCATCAGGAGGGCCAAGCTTACGGCGGTTTAACTATAGCAGTGCTGTTGCCCTGCGTAGTTTGCTCCTTTAGTCGGCTCTTACGACACCCACTAGATGAATAGGGGTGGTGGCACTCTGCATTCTTAATCCGTCACCACACAGTCAATTTTATACTGCATGTGTTATTATATTTACACTGTAAATAAAGTAAAACATAAGACAGTTTAATGTACCTTTTTCGCTGCTTTTACTTGTAAGGTGATGAAGCTGACGAGTGATTCGTGCAGATCCTTGTCTTTTTGCTTCTGGAAATGTTCTATCTCTACTAGCGCCTTCTTAGTGAAGTCCCTGTTAATGAAACAAGTTGAAGTAATTTTAATAATACTGTTACATAGTAAGAAGCTGCTCGAGCTATTGCTACCACTACCATATCCATACATATAAGCAACATCTCACACCTTCCAGTGAAGTTACGGGCAAAAGCTAGTATTCCATAAAATTAAATCGTTATCATTAATACTGCAACAAAAGATACCAAAGAATGATGTAGGAAAATATAGTTTACTACGTCAGGACTCCAATATTGATGAATGGACACTTACTCTAGGTCAGTCTTAGCTTTCTCGATGTTGTCTTTGTCAGCTAGGATCTTGGCGTCTAAAGCGCGCGTACTTTGGTCCCGAACTATGTCGGGGTCTGTGGTACCAAATAGACGCGACATTAATCCCGATTTACCAGCTGCAGCTCGGCTACGTTCAGATATCCTAGAAAAATTGAAAAGCCTAATAGTTATGAAATGTTTACAATAAATGAATAATTTAATGTTTGAATAAATTGTAACAATTTTTATGTAGTCTCATTTACATAGATTTTAGGGGATCTTTGCGTCTTCCTATAATATTTAGCCCAAAATAATTAGATTTGTTTCGTTGATTTGGATATTGGTCCTAATATACTGCCCTGAAGGACCCCTTATTGTTTATTGTGAGTGAATTTTAAAGTCTCCTCATAAAAATACTTTACTAATAATAAAGAAACTCTTCGTATATTATTTACTAGTTAGAGTTGTATCAAAAAGGTAACTATACCAAATATTCGTCGTATAAGAATCAAAGAATATTTTAAGATCAAAGTATAAAAATATGATGTTTAAGCCACGTTACCTATTATTGAGTGTATCTTGTGCATTTTCAAGAGCCCGTTGTAACGTCTCATGGTTGGTGCACAGTTGTTGCAATGCGCCAGCATAGAACAAATATTCTTTCAGCTGATCTGCTAGCTGCTCTTCGTCTTCCGCTACGGAGTCTATACTGTCCGCTATTGAATCTGAGCAAGCATTATGAATATTTAAGCGTTATTTAAGATGTACGATAACCTTAGCCTACAAGAGAGCTAGTAAGTGTATAATATAAAGAGATAGATTTTTTTATGGTATGTTTTCTTATGTTAGAATAAGTGGTACTAGTAAGTTTTTAAATATTATAAATATTTTTTTAAATATATGAACATACCAAAATAATGTCCAGCTTTTTGTAGTCCATCTCCCATGTCCTTCTCTATGACGCTCCATTCGCTAAATAATTTGCCGTAGTTTGCGTGTAATTTGCATAAAGAGTAATTCTTCTCTATTATCTTAGACCTAGAACACAAAATTAATCCAGTACATGACTACTATTATTGTTAATTTCAAAACTGATTGATTTCTTTCCAAGACATGACATTCATGACATTCTTCGGCACAAATGGGCCAGCTGGACCGGAGTGATAAAATGGCCTCACCGAAAACCGGAGTTAAGCAATTCGCTCGTTGCTTTTCAGCGGGTGAGTTTACGAGAGCCCAAACCCCCCTCCCCCTGATTCTGGAGGCAAGGGGCGGTAACGCACTTGTGACTCTTGATTTGCAGGTGTCCATGGATGGCGGTAGTCGCTAACATTAGATGATAAATCTGTTCATTTGCAAATTATACTACCAAAAAACTACACATATTTGATGTATGTATGAATGTAGTACAGTGTCGATTCTTTACATATAAATTATTTGCCCTGTTTGACTGCTTCATCAAAGCAGTATCCACTAACAAAGGATTTTTAGTAATTGCAACCCCCAGGGGTAAAGTAAAGGAATAATAATTGTAACAGCACAAAGAGTAGGTATAAACAAATACACAGGCAAAGATTCTAGACTTCACCTTCGACTTTGTAGTCGATAGCTAAGCTTGTTGTTAGCGCTACCTAAGTGAGCGTTGTGTAAAGATCATATTACACCTGCCTTACGTATTTCTTATCACTTGGAATATATGAATATAGAATATAGTTTGAATATAGTATAGTGTATGGTTCTGAAAGTTGGCCCGTTAAGAAAACGGATGAGAGACGCCTGAACGTAGCCGAAATGCGAATGCTGAGATGGATGTGTAGTGTGACTCAGATGGACAAGGTTAGGAATGAGTATATACGAGGGAGTCTGAAAGTAGCGCCACTGGATAAAAAGTTAAGAAGTAATAGGTTATCTGGGTATGGACATGTCATGCGGAGGGATGAGGAAAATGTGGCGAAGAAAGTTTTAGGTATGGGAGTTGAAGGGTACAAGAGATGAGGCAGACCGAAGAAAAGGTGGATGGAATGCGTGAGGGAGGATATGGCTAGGAAGGGAGTAAACAGTGAGATGACACATGACAGAGTAGAATGGAAAAATCATACATACTGCGCCGACCCCAAATAAAATTGGGAAAAGGGTAGGCAGATGATGAGTTTGAATTTAGAAATGACACTCACCTAGTATATAGAAAATTTCCTAAATTAGTTTCTAATTGCTTCCCATAATTTTTTACACTCTCAATCTCAGGATCCGGTTTTCTTAATCTGATCGATACTGATAATGATTTCAATTTGTTTTCAGCTTGTAGTATATACCCTGAAAATAAAAAGAAAATGTTGTTCTAATGGCTTCGAATATAGGCTAGTCGGGTAAAAAGTTTGGCCAAAAGGTAGTAGGTAAAAGTATTTGAATAACTATTAAAGTCAATTTATCTTTTTCATCATAAACAATTTCAGATCCAAATTTGAAGTTAACTTTGTTTAATATTTAGAAGTTAAAATTAATTGGTCTAACGATCATTTCAGTACTAATCGCAGTACCAGGGATTTCCTTTCTACATTACATTCGGTTCCCAAGCTACAGGTACCCGAGACGGTTTGCGGTTTGCTCAGTTCGAGGCCGACATAATCGTGTCACCGCACGGAAATAAAAAAGTACTAACCGCTATCGGTAATTGTTTCCCGCCAGCCATGTTCTTGTTGGAGGAAATTAATAAATTGGTCATCGAAGCATAATCGCGGATGCGATGCGACACGCAGCAGAAAGTTCTCAAGTCCCGCACGGCGACGTTCAACAAACTCTGGATCTGTGGTATCTGACTTCCTCCATGCATAGAGCACCTAAAATTTTAGGAGAAATGGAGAATCAGCATTGAGTTGTTCATATTGGTTATCACAAGTTTAAAGTGGTCGGCAGATCGTTTTAAGCGTTACGTACCTCTAAAGGAGAAAACGGAACCATTATAGGATCACTTTGTGGTCCGTCTGTTAAGACCTTTATCTCGGGAACGCGTGGAGGTATCGAGTTGAAAATAAAACTATATACTCAGGTCTACAGTCCCTTGAAATTGTAAAATAATAAAACTCATGCCGCAAAAAACGCATATTTCGACACTCTCAAGGGGTTCAAAATTCATAGGGTACATTATATATAGGTATATTTCGCAAGTAACATCGTCTTATACTACAAGTATAGGGCAAAATCTAAAACTATACATTTGTAAATAAATCATAAAAAATATAGTCTTTATTTAAAGAACATAATCAATCATCGAGGTACAATTTTTCCTGAATTTGAATATTCGATTCCTGAACTATTTATAATATGAACAAGACCCTCGGTGGATGAGTTCTATTCGAACTTGACCGGTTTTTTTTATAAAATATGGAGCAAATGAAAGAGGGGGATGTGACATGCGTGTAAGGTTACTTAGACTAGGTAGGTGATCACAATCCTTCTAAAATGTAAGTCTCATCAATTTAAATATTAGTTGGAAACTGCAACATACAGGCGCTCATTTTAACATTATGTTGACTTGCCATTGTACGGCAGTAATTACAATAATAGTTCAAGTTATATAAACCATTGAAATCAAACTATTAGTATAAAGATAAAAATGGATATGCTGACCAGAAATCGGGCAAATTCGCTACAAGTGCTTTCATAAAATTTAAAAAAATTAATTAGAATTTGAGCGGATATGACTGTACCTGACTACCTACTTTCTGACCTAGACAGTTTTAAATAAAATTCTGTTCCGATATTAGTACGCACGGTTTCACACCACTTAAATAACACATGTAACAAATTTGTTTAATCTTTACTATGCAGTAAAATTTTAATTAGGCAATTTATTTCAGTTTCAGTGTTAAAAAAATTACGTGAAGCGCTTAGACGGGAAACGTTAAAACTAGACTATGAAGAGACTGAAAAACTCATGAACAGTATTCAATAATAGTTACAAACATACATACATACATACATACATACACACACACACACCCACACACATATACACTCACAGACACACACACACAACCACACACACGCTAAGGAACACATTATACTCTGGCACATGCACAGACTAGATTGATTTTTATATTGCATAGCATACATACAATATATAATAGTTAGGCTTAATGTGCATTGGGGAGTTGGCGTTGATAGTCAAAATACAGGCTTCGCCTAGTTCGACTACAGATGCTTGATTCTTTTAATTTTAAGACACATTAATATGGCTGTTTAAAGATGTAACCTGTAAGTTTATGTGTGTAATATATATATATATATATATATATATATATATATATATATATATATATATATAAATAAATAAATAAACAACAAACTTAACTTTTTTTTATAGCCAGTTGCTAGATGCCTTTAAAAATTTCCTGTCTGCTATCATCGGATTTAGTATGCCTTTTTGAAAAGTATTATTACTGGAGCCGTGGAGCCCAATACATTAAATAATTTGTACACTATTTGTAGTATATTACTGCTACCGTTTTTAAATCATTTTTTGACAACTGCAGCAAACTAGCTTTTGCCCGTGGTTCCGTCGCGTACAAAAGCGACATATGCTACTTTTTACCGCGATAACTGACATAGGTTATGCGGTAAAAAGTGGCATATGTCCTTCCCCAAAAATCAAACTATCTCCATACTGTAACGGTGCATTTCGCACCATTACAGTAATTTGAACCTTAGTCTCGTTTTTGTTTTGTTAGGTTGAATTTTTTGTCGTTTCTGCGTGTGCCGATGGTCGAGGGACGGACGAGAGTAATAATCGATGTTGTTCGCCCGCGATTAGTTAGTCGATTTAGTTTTTCTTGTCCTGGCAACATTTTTTTTTCCCCGCTCTAAGGAGCGACAGGCTTTTGCTCTGGCAACACGTTAGTTCACTTTTGGACTGACGGCCGAATGAAATGAAGCGAAGCTAGATTTTGTCATTTAATTTATTAGTATTCCTTATTTATTTGATGTGGACGAGGGCCTATTTCCTCTTTAAATGTTTGGTCAACCTAGTTAGGACTCGAGCTATTGGTTCGAGTGATTATTTTTGTTGAAAAGGTAAGTTTTGTTCGGCCACGTGCTTCACGCTTGGCTTGGCGGAATTTGTGGTTTTAACTCTTTGTTTAATTGGTTACAGGCAATGCTTATAATGCCGCTGCTTAATTTGTGGAACATTTTGGGACCCTGGTGAGTGATTGGTGATTTCTTGTCAGAGTCAGGATTCATCTTATGAGATAGGCTTTTAACCTATAATTTTTCCTTATTTGCAGATGAATCAGGGTTTTTTTTTTGGTTTATATCTAAAGTTTTAATTATACTCTATTTTCCTTTTATACCTAAATTTCTTTACATTCTTATTGGAATGTCATTGCGTGGCATTCGGATTTTTGTCTCTCGCCGGAGTTTGACCCCAAGAAATTAGATTGCTGTGGAGCACCGGATTGGTAGAAAAAGCTGCTTAGCTGCACGCCATTGTCTGGAGCCGGGGAGTGCTAACCCGCCTTTTCCACCACGTGGGAGCCGGAGTGAGAAGTTTCGGAGTTGGGTTTGATTTCATTTCATTCGGACTGATCCAAGGTCATTGGTATGTGTTTTGTTATATATTTTTCTTGGCGACGTGGCATTGAATACTGCAGGTCCCCAAGGGGTGTTATTTTTATTAGAGAGTAGGTCAATGCTATGTCTACCTTTAGAGTTTATTGTTTTGTCTATTAAGTCTTTATGCGACTTTGTTTAAAAAACCTATACAGGTCCCCAAAGGGGTTAATTTTAATTAAGGGAGTAGGGCGTTGCTACAACTACCCTTAAACTCTTTTCTTTTTAGGTCTTCATGTGACTCTTTAAAACTTATTTAACCTTATATTTTTCTTATTGGAAAGGATTGCATTAATGACAGTACTAATTTGTGTATAAGAATTACCTATTGTAATTAGAGACATAAGACACATTGTACTCTACAGACACTACGGGATAATAAACTGCCATTAGAACTTAACATCTTGTATTCATTAGCTGCCTCCCGCCTTGTTTTAAAAAGGTTCAATGTTGGCTGAGATGTCCGAGGTATTTGTTGTGTTTGTGGTGGGTTCTGTGTTCTTTTAAGGTGGTATCTGGCGCCCGAGACTTTTATTTTGTTATTTTGTTTCTATTTGATGCCACCAGTTTAGTTTTATTTTCTTTAAAACAGACCCAACATATAAATATATATTTTTTTAATTTTTTATTATTACAATACCAAATTTCATCTAAACCGGTTCAGTGATTATTGATTTACCATACAAACTGCCACCCCCCTTTTCACACCTTTACAGGATGATTTCTCTGATATAAACTATCTTATGTCCTTTCCCAGGATTCAAACTCTCCATACCAAATTTTATCTGAATCGACTTAGCGGTTTAAGCGAAGAGGCAACAAACAGACAGACACACTTCCGCATTTATAGTATTAGTATACATGATTTGAATAAAACCAAACTTTATTAAAAATCTAATGCTTACGAGATATTAGCGATTAAATAGCTCTAAGAAAATAATAATTTATACACCCATGTAGGATAAGTATTCTACATTGTATGTATCTTATTCACAGTGTGCAGGAAACAGTACCTGTCTATCTATCTACTACGTAAATAATAAAAAAAACATGCTCATATTGTAACTATGGTAACACGTTTCTGATACAAATATTACATAAAAGGGTATTGTATTTCAAAAACAAAAACTGTTCCTTTTCTTTATTTTTGCTAAACAACTTTTTTATGTAATGTTCCTCATACCATAGAGACTTTACAAATATTTATAGATTTCAATATACACAAACACAATTCAATTTTTAACATTAAACAAATAATAAGCCTGGCTTTAGAATCTGCAAGGCTAGTTGATCGAGGCATCAAATCTACAAGGCATCAAATCTAGTACATTAGGATAGATTCCCAGGTTTAAAATAAATCAATTCGCTGGAATCATTAAATGTAACATGAAGTACATGATGAATTGTCCTCCACTATAAATTTAAAGTTTTTATTGTTTTGATATCTTCAAATCAAAACTAAATATAAATTAATGACCGAATGGCGTAGTGGTTTGTGTAATGGACTGCTATTCCAAAGGTCGTGGGTTTGATTCCTGCTCAAGTCAAACATTTGTGTGCATGAACATTTAATGTTTGATTTGGTCTTGGTGTTTCTATGTATAATAATTATATATTTACAAAAAAAAGGTATATATGTATTGATATCAGTTATCTTGTAACCATAGTACAAGCTTTGCTTAGTTTGGGACTAGATGGTGTTGTGTGAATGAAGAAAAAAAAATTAGACAATGGCTAGGTTGATATCATCACACCATAGTATTTTATACAAAAATGTAGCATGTCTATCATTTTAACATCTACGACAATAGCAGGGTTACACATTATTTGTTTATTGCTTTCAAAATTTGTATAAATAATACTGATAATGAACGTGAATCAACCACCCAACTCATGGAGCTGCGTGATGAGTGTTTTAGGATACTTAGTTCCCAACCTCTCAGTGGTAGCTGATGTTGTTTAATTTTGCCTTTATATTATATACTCACCCGTTTCTCAGGTAATGGTGGTATGATAACATGTGGATATGTGACTTGTAGGTAGTCATGTATCTGTTCAAACTCTGTGTATCTTCTCCATATAGTACTAATCTTTGATTGCACCAGTTTGTAATCCACATCTGTGACTCTGAAAATAACAAAAAATACATTTTCCTACTATTTACATAATATTATTACAATATTTTATTTCGTACTTGTTCCTTTATATTGCAGTGACTAACTCTCTAAATCTAGATCCAATACAGTAGACTGTTTGAGTTGGTTTGGTTCACCACTGGAATGGTTGAAACTAATTTTTTTTTATGGTGTGGGGGCAGACAAGCAGACGGGTCACCTGATGGAAAGTGACCATAGCGGCCCATGAACATCTGCAACTCAGGAGTCACAAACATGTTCAGCCAACTACATAAATTTTTGCCTTATACTTCAAACAGAATGGTGTCAATGACTTACTAATTGGTAACAAAAGACTTTATACATTTACTATATATCATATATTATTACTTCAACTACCTACATCTTGTGTTAAAATTAAACCAAACTAATATTTTAAATAAATGCTTTTATTTACCATGACCATGACCATACCATATGTGTATTATAATATGTGATAGGATCAATTTTGAACTACTTATTCTAATAATAATTTATCTTCCAATAATAATTTTTGTGAATTTTTGAAGATTTGTGTAATTCAGTTAACAGCAATCAAATGGGAACAATGACCTGATACGTCTTCATTTGTATCAAAGCAACTAGCTACAACTGAGAGCGTGGTTAGCACAAATAATAAGCCTAATTGGCACATAATGGACGACTAATTTACTAACAAAACAATAGAATAAAGTACTTACTTCAAGTCGATTAAATACACTGTATAATGATCTCTAACGTGCAACGTCCCATTCGCACGTTTTTCAGACTCCACTATTGATATATCAACGTGTTTTAGCAAAGTATCCTGCATAACATACACGAGAATTAATAGTTTATACATCTAGGAAGAAAGTAGGCGTAATATATCACCTATACCTGATTTTCAAAGTCTTCAGCTGTTTCAATGACGCTGGGCGATCTTGATGCCTTTACCGGCGAATGTTGTTCTGACATCATCCTCTTTTTAACTATTAAATTAAATTTTACTGGAATATAAGGCTTATTTTAGGGAATTATTTTAAATATCCACACAAAAAACAGTGACAAACCAATGCACTGACAGGTCCTAATGACAACACAAATATTAAAATTGATAACAGATTATAAATTTAATAATAGTGTGACAGCAGGATGAAGCTATTTGATAACATTAGGTCAGAAAGAGAAGTGCGCTATGTGACAAATGTAATTTTTTTTAGTCTGGAACGTCGATCGCCATAGACAAGTTTTAGTAGATGAGAAAAACAGAGAAAACTATGAAAACTCGTGACTAGAGAAGTGTAACATAATAAAGAATAAGAATAATTATTCACCTGATCCTTTATATTACAGACACAAGGAGAAAGCTATTTTAAAATTGTGTACTTATTTTGGGCATGTTTATTAAACATATTTTCTGATTTTAATTATGTGGAACAAAATGTAAAAATAGTGTTGTATCCTAAATGATCAACTGTCCGTTTCCAAGGGGTTGAGCCTGAGAATATAGGGAAAACAAACTCACGGCGACTCTTTTTCAATCAACAGATAATAATGGCATAATGATGCCATATATTGTTTTGATGTGTGCCAGTATATAAGTATTAAGGACGAAGAGGTAAAAAGGCAATGAAGAGAAAACAAGATATACGAAAAATATGTAATTAATAAGAAAGTCAAGTAAAACATAAAAATGGCAAGTTAAATAAAATGTCTTTTATTTATAGTGTGTCCACTAATTAAATAAAATGTCTTTTATTTCTACTGTGTCCACTAGCCCGCTTCACATTACACTACGAAATAGCCTGTGCTAAATCAATCCCAAGCATCTTGTCTTCTACGTAATCCACAATTGAGTGATACATACTTTCTGACATAGTTATCATTTTATTGTGGATTTAAATTTGTTTATACTAAAATCTTGTATTATTTGGGATTTTATTATAGAATCGGACACATTAACCTCGAAATTATTTGTTTATCTTTTGGAGTCTAGAGCCTTTTTCTATTTCTGATATTTAAAGCATATACATCACTTCTTTTCAAGAAGCTATCATTGTTTTCATGAAAGATATTATTACATTTTCATATAAATATTTTGACTTGCCACTGTCATTATGTTTATTTCTATAAATTTTTGTCTCAATGAACAACGATTGCCTAAATTATAAATTGGTAGAATAGCTCTCTTTTGCAGCACAAAAATAATTTGAATGTCCGCAGCATTCCCCCACAGTAGAATACCGTACGACATTATGCTAAGAAAATAACTGAAGTAAACAAGGCGTGCTGTATCAATATCAGTTAATTCTCGAAGTTTTCTAACTGCGTACGTCACCCCACCGGTTTTTACGTCGGGGTGGTGTGTCTGACTAAAACCACACGGTGTGTCACTGTGTGCCTGTAATAGGAGGGATATGGGAATTGCTGTTTTTAAGACATCCGGATCCATCTCGCAGAAGGAGGCGGCAGAGAGGACTCGGGAGGATGATCTCCACTCGAACTCAATTCCGCCTTGAGTGAGGCCGCGGGTGGACGGGACGGGTTTTCCCCTCCATCCGCTATAACGGCCAGCCGCGAGGAGTCGACGTCAGCGTGTGCCGGACGTCGCCTAAATAGAGAATTTACCCGAAGGTGGTGCCCGCGCCGTTGCGGGTAGACGCTAGGAGGGGTTCGGATGTCTTAAAAACAGTGGTTTTCACTAGCTTGACGTTTGTTGAACCGTATACACTTAGTAGTTTTTTCATTCAAAAGCAAATTGTTAAAGTCAAACCAATGAATCACTTACGAAATGGAGTTTTTTACGTCTGTGAAATTAGTAAGTGTGCAATTGAGTCTAAATAATAGTGATGTATCATCTGCAAACAACACAATCTCGTGAATATCCTTGACAAACAAACAAACAAAAATGGGCTGACCATAGAACCTTGTGGAACGCCCATTTCTATCTTATTAACAACTACCTTAATATCAACTTTCTGAATCCTATTAACTAATACACTCATACTAAAAGCACTGGTACTTCTTGCTTCGTGCTTTAAATTTGCCATAGTGCTATAATTTCCTGATCAGCGTTTCATGAACAACTCAATCAAAAGCTTTAGATAAATCGTAAAAGATACCTAGAGAATCGTGAACATCCTCCCCGGCACCAAATATATTTTTTATAAGCTCAATGCTAGCATCTGTTGTGGAGCGACCCCTTTGCTAAATACTGGCAGTACTGAAATAGGCCTAAAGTTAGTTGGGTCAGATGTACTGCCAGATTTATAAGGAAATAATTTTACTGGACTTCATAAGATCAGAAATTATACCACTTTCAACACATTGTAAATGACAATTGAGTAGCCACAAGAGATACATATAATTGTCTTAGTAATTAATACAGAATTTCCGAATAGGTCAGTTGTTTTTTATTATGTACAAGCTATGTCCCGCCGAAAGGCATACAATATATTAGGCAATGATTTATAAAAAAAACATCATTATAATACGTCATTGATATTAGGTACCTACATTCTTTAAATATTCTAAGAGTATTGTTTAAATAAATCATCATGATTTTACATAAACAAAGTCATCAATCCATATAAGTATATATAATTTAAAGTCATCATCAGTTCAGGTCAAATTAAGTAATAATAATAAAAGATAATTTAAATTTATAGTAAAAATAATCAATGAATGTCAATTAAATTAAAATTGGTCATTGAAATATTCGTATAAAAATATGGAATAATGTGCTTTATTGTTAAAAAAGTCAAAATTGTCAAAGAGTTTACATTTAAATTCATTAATGTTTGTGCTTTGGTTTGGCAATCTATTATACAATTTCGGTGCCATTGCATATTGACTTTTGTGGGCAGCCAGTGCAACTTATTTAAGCAACGTCGACTTTGCACAGAGTCAAATAATTTAAAGTTCAATTTTACAAAAATAACGACCTCATAAATGTAAAGCGATGGTACAGTTAAAATTTTTAAATTCTTGAAATGTGCTTTCACAACGCTTTGCAGTTTTAGGTTTCACCACAATCTTAATTTCAACAATTTTACAACAAATTTAATTTAAGTCGCAGTGGTTTTGTAAATAAGTCATATAACCTCAAAGTATTGTTCTTAGAAAACGTGCAGTGATTTTCTTTCGTAAGTTTTGAATTATACGCTTAGTGATTTTTTTAACATTTAAATTTATGAAAATTGTGAATAATTGAATAATTATGGGAAAACTTTAATTTAAAATTTAATTTAAAACAAATTATTTTTGGCGCTTTCTTTAAAATTTACCCTTATTCTACTGAAGCGCCCCCAATTTCACGCATTTTGAACGACACTTCATTTACCAAGATGATTCTCTCTCTACCTATACATTATGACATTATACTACTTTGGGATGTCAAGGGCTTCTAAGCGCATTCCATGTTAATGTTTTTAATAAACTAAGCAGTTAATATTTTTAACCTTTGTAATATTTTTTTTACTTTTTAATTCCTAATTGTTTTAATTTTAGTCTATGCCTTGAAACTAAAGTAAAAACATGGTCCGAGTGTCCTCGGAGTAGGACGCCTGAGACGGCCGGGGTGGTTTTTAGTGGCATCACAGCATATTCCTGGCTCCTGCGTCCCCAAGTAGCCGGTGATCCGAAGAGATTTTTCCGAAAAAAAATCATTTTGTGGTCCCAGAAAATGTAATATACCTAACTAAATTTGCTTAACTTTTATATTTTAAAGTACAGGGTGGCGCAATAGAACGTGCATATTTAAAATATTGATTAGAAAATAAATACAAAAGGTATAGTTAAAATAAAACTGAGGTATTATTAAGAAATAACTGAAGTTTATTTTTAAAAAATAACATCGTCTAAATGATGACCCTCTCTACGACGACACTCCTCTAATCGCAAACGGAAGTTATTGAAAACTTTCTTCAGTAATGCTGGTGTAATTGCTGCCATTTCACCACGGATATTCTCCTTGAGCTGATCGTTGTTTTTCGGATTATTACTGTAGACTTTGTTCTTGAGGTATCCCCACAAAAAAAAGTCAGGAGGCGTCACGTCTGGACTACGTGGGGGCCATGGGATATCACCTCTTTTCGAAATCAGTCTGCCAGGGAACATCTGTTTCACAACCGCCATGGAGTCATTTGATGTGTGACAGGTAGCTCCGTCTTGTTGAAACCAAGTCCTAGAATTCACTATTCTTGAATTTTCAAGCTCTGGAGCCAAAAAACCTTCCAACATCGCAACATAGCGTTCGGTATTAACAGTGACGTTTTGCCCCCGCGCATTTTCAAAGAAAAACGGTCCAATTATTCCTCTACAAGAGATTGCTGCCCATACTGTCACTTTAGGACTATGCAGTGGTTTCTGGTGCTTGAGTTTGGGATTCTCACTGTTCCAGTAACGACAATTTTGACGGTTTACGAACCCATTGATATGGAAGTGGGCCTCATCTGAGAAAAGGATATTGTCAAAATTGGAAAATCGATTAAGCATTTCATTAGCAAATGCGAGCCTTGCTCCGAAGTCAGACTCTTTCAATTCTTGTGTTAACTGCAGCTTGTAAGGATGCAGTTTAAGATCCAAGTTTAAAATTCGTTGCAAACTTCGTCGCGATAAGTGTAAGACAGACGATCTCTTACGAGTAGACATTTGTGGATCTCCTCGTACAGACTGCATAACTCTCTCAATATTGTCGTCGGTCCTAGATGTTCTTGGACAACCTTTTGCTTGTGGTTTAAACGTTGAACCAGTCTCTTCAAAACGCTGTACCCATATTTTAATTAAATTAGCACTCGGAGCTTTACTAATTTGCCGTAGTCCATATTCAGAACAATATAAACGCCTAGTAACGATGTATGAACGAGAGTTCTCGTAAAATGCGCGCACGCAAAATGCGCGACGCTTCCCGTCGAAGTGACTCATAGTGACTAAAACTCCATGAGCCCGCCTACCCAACGATGCAGGCTCCCCCC